GTGGCAGGTTTGAAAGAGGATTTGAAACCCCTTCATGTTAAAACCAGACAGGAAGTCAAGAAACGTAGCCTGTTATGTTGTAAACAGCCCATGTCTGGGGGGGTCCCTTTGGGTCTGAGGGCCACTTGGGGCCACTTGGGACTGAGGGCAGCAGAGAGCAACAAGGATGGTGAGATTTAAGTACATAGACAGTGAGAAGCAGACATATTGGAAGAGGAAGCTTAGCATAGAGAAGATTTGAAAGTGTGTACCACCCCTTCCCTCAGATATTGGGAGGGCTAGCTTGCAGGAGAGAGACTTAACTTGGTCTGTATCACTCCAGAGGGCATAAGTAGGACTCACTGGCAGATTTCAGATCAATGTAAAGGAGGGCATTTTAGCCATTAGAGTTGTTCCATATGGATTCAGCTGCCTTGTAAGGTCAGGAGCTCTCCGTAAGCATCCAGAAGCTGAAGTTCAAGCTGTGACATCTGTGGGTTCATCCAACTCTGGAAGGTTCTATGATTCTATAGTTCTTCATACATTTCCTTTCCTGCCTTCTTTCTAAGATAGGAAATGAAGGCAGTAATATGTAATTGTGAATTCACTAACGTCAAAGGAAAACACAGTCTTTTTTGCCTGTTGTGATGTGACATGATGTTATTCTCCAATTACAATGCTCCCACACCTCTTGGGCTTGGTTAGATCCAGCTCACCTTGCACAGTGACAGCAAAACCATTTTAAAACTTGTAATGGTTTCTTGAGCCCTTTAAGGAATGAGGAAGGCTTGAAAAGGAGTGAGTCAGAAGCAAGGTCAAGCTGGGGAAATTTTAGATAAAGTCTACAATTCTGTGCTCAGAAGGAACATGGGAGAAAATCACAGGGAACATGTCACTGGGTAACTCCCTGGATGGGTCATCATTCCCAAAAAGGCATAAACGTGGGTGAGGAGTGGACGGGAGAGCATTTGGGAAATCAAAGTGATGAAAGCATTGCTAGTGAGCTCCAGTGAGAGGAAGGGCAGTGTGAAAACCTGGCGTGGGAGAGGAGGTGAAAAAGCAAAGGTGTCTATCTTAGCTTGCATGGGCTACTATAACAAAATATCACAGACTGGGTGTCTTAAACAATGGAAGGTATTTTTTCACAGTTCCGGAGGCTATAAATCCAAAATTAAGGTGCTGTTAGGGCAGGTTTCTAGTGAGACCTGTCTTCCTGGCTTATAGAAGGCTGCCTTCCCTCTGGACAAGCACATGGCCTCTTCTCTGTGTACACATGGACCAGACCTACCAGATTAGGGATCCAGCCTTATGATCTAATTTAACCTTAATTCCTCCTCTGAAGACCCAGTCTCCAAATACAGTCACATTGGGGATTAGGGCATCAACATACAAATTTTGGGGGAACACAATTCAGACCAAAATAATGTTCACTGTAGTTTTTGTAAATTGGCTTTGATGGTGAACTGAATGTCCTCTTGGGGGAGAGAAAGGACACTGAGGGCCAGCTGAATGTCAGTCATTACTGATGCATGATCTCATTTGACTCCTGCACAAGGCTGTCATGAGAGCAGACTAAAGCTTGCAGATGTTATGATCACCCGGATAGGGAGACCAAGTAAGCCTTCAACCCTGGCTGGTGTGGCTCAGTGGATTGAGTGCCAGCCTGAGAACCAAAGGGTAACTGGTTTGATTCCCAGTCAAGGCACATGCATGGGTTGTAGGCCAGGTCCCTAGTAGGGGATGCGTGAGAGACAATTGCACATTGATATTTCTCTCCTTCTCTTTCTCCCTCCCTTCCCCTATCTCTAAAAATAAATAAATAAAATATTTAAAAAAGTTAAAAAAAGGGAAAGCATTCAAACTCTAATTTATAAGCCCATGCTACCATATCACTGGAGGGGACTTTAACTGAAGCCTTGCTGAATTCCTAGGGACTCTGTCTTTAAACTTGGAGTTGCCAAGGAAGTTGCTTGGCAAGTCCATTTGGGGGTCTGGGGGGGGTGTCTCTAAATAGGAAGTGACATGATCAGAGATGTGTTTTGGGGAGGTAAGCGGCCCTATGGGTTGGGGGTGGTTGGAGATCATCTAGAAGCCTATTGCCATGGTCCTGTTGAGAAATAGCGACAGCCAGCAAGGGCGATACAGAAAGCACTGGATTCCCATGACATTGTGAGGGCAGGCAGGGTTTGGTAAATGATTGAGTGCCGGTCATGGAGCCAAGGGAGGGAGTCCAGGATGAGGCCAAGGTGAGCAGCTGGGGGGCCAGCAGTGTCCATGATGGAAATGAACTGAACCTGGGCCCAGTTCATCTGGTACCCCCAAAGCTCTCCTGGCCTCTGTTCCATCAGGTGGTGCGGAGGTACCTCAAAAAAACCTACAACAGTTTAGAGTCCAATACTCCCTTTGGGGGGATGTTGGAGAGGACCTCTTGAACTTAAGGTTAATCTAATGCAGTTAATCATTGCTGGTAATTATACCCTTAATAGGATATTAGGCTTAATAATTTATTAAGTGAGAGATGGCAAGTGAAAAGATAATGGGTGAGGACAGGCAGGCTGCATGCGTAAGGGAATTTTGACGAAAAGCGGACTGTTATCCCCATCAACCTTTGAGGAGAAAAAAGTGGATCTCTAAACAGCCTGCTTTCCTCCAAGTGTCCCCTTCTCCTCTTCCTTCTTCTTTTTCTTCCTTCTTCCCTCCTCCTCCTCTTTCTTCTGCTTCAACCACACAAGGCGTTTTAATGTTTACGTTGTAAGGAGGACAAGTTGCAGTCTGGGTCAATAGAACTTTTCATACCGTGAGAGTTCCACTTACCGTCAGTGGCAACAGTAATTTACTTCTTATGCAAACTTTACTGGGTCTAATTCCCCAGTTAAACTTTTAACAAAGGCAGGCATGTCTACATTATACAACACACTCTAAAGTACAGATGACCAACGATTAAAACTCTTAAGTGGCAATAATCAAAGCACACAGTTTCCCCTTCTTAATGAATAGCGTTCACCCAGTTATGCAAGCACTGGATCAAGGAGTTACCCTTGATTCCTCTCTCTCTCATTTCCCACATTTGATCCATCAGTGAGGCCCCTCAACTTTGTTTCTACAACAGACCCTCATCTCTACCATTGCCTTTGTCTCTTCTGCTACCACCCAAGACCAAGTCACTGTTCCCTCTCACCCAGATGCAGCAACAGTCTCCTATGGTTTCTCTTTTCTCCCTTGTCCCCAACACTGCACTTTCCACACACTTGAGTGCAGTCTTTAAAAGCAAATTAGGTTCTGTCCCTGCTCTGCTTGAAACCCTCGAGTGGCTTCCCATCACACTTGCGATAAAATCTACGCTTCCTACCGTGGCTCCCTGAGGCCTCTGCGATGCGCCCCCACCGGGCTTCCAGCCTCATCTCACGCCACCCTCCTTGCCCACCACACTCCAGCCACCCTGACCTTTGACTTTCGCTTTCTTCCTGCTTCTAACTCACGAGAACGTTCCCCTTTGGGGCCTTTGCTTTGCTGAAATGCTTTCCCTCTGCTCTCAGTATAGGCAACTTCTTTTTATCATTGATCCCAGCTGAGAGGTCAAGCCCCACAAAGGGAACTTTCTCTGACTCTCCTCCATCACACCTCTCTATCTTCTTCACAGCACTTACCACTCTCTGGTTTTTTTTGGTTTATTTATTCATGTTTTCTCTGTTAGAATAGAAACTTTTAGAATGTATGAATTTTTTCTGCCTGTGCTATTCACAGCAGAATCCCAAGTGTCTTCACGCATTGCGTAAGTGTGTAGAATGAGTGAAGGAAGGAAGACATGTGTACCACTACCTCCTCCTCATTCTAAAGACCTCCTTTCAGGCTGGCCTTCAGGGATTTCCTCCTCTGACTTGGCACTAAGTACCTAACAGCCTTATATTGGGCGTTGGGCCTTGTATAGTTAGGATAATTTTTTTGAGTGATCTGTGTTGGGGGAAATATGTGTTTTGTTCCAGATTTGGAACCTCTCAGGGATAGGTACAAATAGGTACAAATAGGTACAAGCCTCTCCCCATTCACTTAGCAAGAATGGGGCTAATTATACTAGTTTGGTTATTTATTAAATGCTGCCATGCCTTCTGGTCTTGGATATGAAAGGATCCTAGAACTTTCTGGAGTTCTCCTGAGCCTCGGATGCAGTTGAGTTGATGGCATAGTATCATGACTGGTCAGTGCATGCACCCTATCTTGTTTCACCTGGTATTTTCCCCTTCCAGGTTTTCACTCTTAGGTATTTACTATGTGTTCTTCCAATCTGTCTTCTGACCTGAGTATTGAGACATATGAGATTATTGAAAAATGCAATTTTTTATGCATATGTCTCTGGGTCCCTGGGATCTTTGTAAAAATAAAAATACTTTATCAATTTAGAGAATTGTCATTGTTATTAATATCATCTCTTGTTACTTGGGAGCACATGGATTCACAGAATTTAACAGCTAGGAGTCACTTGGAAATCACTAGCTCCACTGCCTCCCTTCTCCAGCAAGTGATGGGACCGAGGCAAAGAGGTTTCCTTTCAAATGATTCCTTTATCAAACTGTCCCCATTTACTGAGAACCTATATTCCTCAAGATCCCAAGCCAGGAGTGCTGGAGGATGCAGAGATGATTGGCACAGGCCCTGCTTCTGAGCCTGCGGCCTCTTGGGAGTCTTCTTGGGGAGGCCTGCTGGGCTGCGGGGCTTCCCATGCCTTCTTCACGATGGCGCATTGGGCTCACAAAGGGCTCACAAAGGACTCACAGATGACCTGATTTGGGGATCCAGCCCACTTCCTTAATTCTTCCTTTTCCTCTTCACTGTTATTACCCAAGTCCCCACAACTACCTTCAGAGCCAGCAGTCCTGGCAGACTCCAGCACAGTTAAGTTCCTGGCCTTCTGCTGCTCTTTCTTGTCCTTCTCTCGGCTGACATGTCTCTTCTCTCCTTGGTCCACCCCTGAGTATCTTGATGGAGCACAGCGTCCTCATGCTACTTTATCTTTATGTTTCCAGATCGGAGCTTCTCTGTTTGCCAGCAACATCGGAAGTGGCCACTTTGTGGGGCTGGCCGGGACAGGAGCAGCTGCAGGCATTGCCACTGGGGGCTTTGAATGGAACGTGAGTAACATCAGAGACACCATGTCCTGGCGCTGGAAGGAGTCTTAGCAGTCAGCCAGTTCAAACTAGGCTCAGAGATAGATGCTATATATGTTACAGAACCTCTCTGGGCCAACCTGTGATGCAGATGAAGGAGAGGCCCAGTTTTAGCAGCTCTAGGTTCCTGCTCTCCTTCCACCAGAATAGCATGAGAAAACCACTGATATGATAGCTGTGGTTTTCTTCTCTTAAAAAGCCAAGCACTCCTCTACCCTTTCAGCCATATTGGAGGTTTGGAAATGCTTATCCCCAGATTTCTATTATTATAATTGCTTATTTTTTAAAAGGTCTCTAAATGATATTTTACTTTTTGTAAATGAGGGATATCATTGGGATATCATGAAGGGTCCCCTCCACCATTGCTCAGCTACCATTCCTGTGGGCCAGTCCTGCAGCAAAGACCCTTCCAGCTCTGATGGCCTTGTAGGGAGTTGTTTTCAGAGGCCAGAGAGAAACCGCTGGGCCACTGTTCTGCAGTAGCTGGGGGGCCTTCAGGCGCCATGATCTGACTCCATTCTTTTTTTGGTTTTAGGCCCTGATTTTGGTGGTTGTGCTGGGCTGGTTGTTTGTCCCTATTTACATCAAGGCTGGGGTAAGTATCTGTTATTCCATCTACTGCAGACTGATGGACACACACACACACACACACACACACACTCACTCACACACACACACACCCCGCCCCCAAATTTGGTCCCCCTGAAAGGCAGAGGGGACTTTTCAGGATAAATGGCAGAGAAAGCCTGTGCTTCACTTTCTTTTCCAGGTTATAAAGGTCTTGATTGCTCCTAGGGACATTAAATGTATCCACTAAGCCATGGCTTGCTCCTCTGAAACAATCTTGCTCTGTTCAGAGCTCTCTGAAGCATCATGGCTTCTTATGCTGGGTGTGTATTTACAAGGCACTGCCTTGTGTTCGCTCATGATATATATCTGTGTGCCTCTGCCTCTGGAAGGGTCATATTTCTTCTTCATTTATGTACATCAGCAGGTTTCTTTGCTGAGCATACAACTGGTACTCAGCTATCAAATGCATGCTCCTGCTCTTGAGGAAAGCTCTATGACCTTTTATCTAAGGCAGCTTTAGTATCATCCCTTCAGTGAGATACAATGAGTAACTGCTATGTGTAAGTCTATTGAAAACAATATGGAAGAAACAGGACAGACTCTGAAACTTCTGGGGGTTGTTGGTGACACATATCTGATCCCAGTAGACAGCAGGTTCTGGGTTGAGGGAACAAGACAGAGTGTGGTTGGAATTTGCAGAAAGGAGAGCAGTTGAGCAGGCCTGCAGGCACAACCCGTGGTAAGGGCTGTGTGCAGAGCGGGGTGAAGCACACAGCCAGCCTGGCCACCTTGTTTGGTGCATTGAAAAAATGCTACTGTTGTTATGCCTTGTTCATAGTAGGTGCAATGTATAGGAATATATATCTATCTTTCCACACCTCCTCCAGGGCAATGATCTAACATCTTGGTTATGGGTAGTCATGTATTCATTTTAAAAAGTGTTAATAAGTCGCCTTCTGTGTCCTGGGATAACATGTAGCTACCTCTGCAGTAGGGTATGTGGCATTGAGATGAGCAAATGGCTAGAAGATGGCCACCTGGACACGTCATCGACTTCCCTGGCCAACAAGGGTTAAGCCTTGATCACACCTCTGGCACCCTGGTAGATGCCACTCTTCTGCTTGCTCTGGGCCTTCTGGGCACTCTTGCTGCAGTGACTTCCCTTCCGTCCCATGCAGGTGGTGACAATGCCAGAGTACCTGCGGAAGCGATTTGGAGGCAAGCGGATCCAGGTCTACCTCTCCATCCTGTCCCTGTTGCTCTACATTTTCACCAAGATCTCGGTGAGTCCACCTCCCGGTAAGGCTGGACACTGGCTGTCTCAGAACCTGCTCATTCTTGCTCCTCAGCACATGCTGGTTCACCAAGGGGCAGTGCTATACATTTCTATTAATTCAGTCCCTTAAGCCTTCTTGCTCCTTAGGGTAAAGTCCTATCTCATGCATCAAGGAGCCAACACATGGAACTTCTTATCCTCTACCATGGGGAAGGTTAAAAACAGAAACAGGTTCAAGAAGGTTCAGTGAAAGCTGTTCTTAATTGAAGATAAAAAGAGATTTAGGGGTGTCTGAGGGCTGGCTCCACACTTAGATGTAGCCATGGCCTCTGCGCCCTCTCAGGGTCAGAATCTGGCTTCTGGTGACATTTCTGATGCACTTAAACATGAGCAGTCAGTGACAATCTCAAGAAAGAGTCTCTTTCTTCCTTTATGGATGAAGAAACAAAAACCCTGGGGATGGAAAGTACCTGCTCAGGATCCTGAATCAGGAACAGAAGCCAGAAGCTCCTGGTCCTTTTCACTGTGCAAGACTCCTATTTGCTTGGGGAACCAGCACCCTGGGCCTTTAGTCACTGATGCTCTGGGGGATTTCCACTCTTTCTGAAGTCAACTGCTGGGGCTGTTCCCCCTGTCATGTAGCCTGTCTCTCTTCCAACCAGGATCTGCAGGCCCCAATTTGCAGAGCTGCAGTTTCTCAGGGATTGGCTGGCCGTGGGTGTGTATTTAAGAACTGCACAGAGCTCTGGGTCAACCCACTGGAGCGAGACTTGTATTCTTTCTTCATTTTACTTTTCCTTCCTTAAAAGTGTGCAAATCAACTTTTGATGGTAAAACAAAACAAAGCAAAAGATCCAGGAAACCACTGAGGTTTTCCCTCGACAGCCCAAAAAGTGATGGGAAAAGAAAAGTTGCTTATAGGTTTTGCTTGGCCTTTTTTTTTTTTTTTAAATACCCAAGGTGATTGTCAGTCTGATGAAGGTTAAAACAGTGGGGGGGCAGGTAGGGGGAAAGGACAGCCCTCACTGATGTGGCTCAGCAGATTGGGCATTGTGTCCGCCACAAAGTGAAAAGTCACCAGTTCAATTCCTGGTCAGGGCGTATGCTTGTGTTGTGGGCCTGTTTCTCTCCTTCTCTTTCTCACCCCCTTCCCCTCTCTCTAAAAATAAATAAATAAATAAATAAATAAATAAATAAATAACCTTAAAAAAGAACCATGTGAATGATAAGGGATAACAGAAAGAAAACAGGACCTTGGTAAGAAAACTATTTCGTAGAACAATTGGAGGAAGTACAGGGCTGTGGAGGGGCCTGGGCTCCTTGCCTGCTCCCTTGCTCATCGACAGGTGATCTGGGGCAGAGCGCACATTGCTTCACCCCCTGGAGCTCAGCTTCTTCATGGGTAAGAAGGGGATAGCAAGCACTGCCTTGCCCGTCTCAGTGGGTGGTGGTGAAGTTCAAAAGGATTTATCTGAAAACATGAAGCATCCCTGGAATGTAAGAAAAGATGATGAAGAACATGAGAACTGTTGCTCCCTGGGTTTGCTTCAGCACCTTAACTTAGCTAGAGTGGTTTGGATACTAGGCCTTGTCAGATACATGATTTGCAAATATGGCTTCTCATTCTGTAGGTTGTCTTTCACTTTATTGGTAAGATTTTGATGCACAAAAGTTTTTAAATAATGATGAAATTCAATTTATCTTTTTTCTTTTTTTGCTTATGTTTTTAGTGTCATTTCTAAGAATCCGTTGCCAAATTCAAGAGCAGAGAGGGAAGTAACATTTTCTTAAATCTCAGAGGAAGTGGCTCCAGCTTTCCCCCTTAGCCAGTGGTTGCAAAGGGTCCGCTGCCCTCTCAGAAGGGTTATCTCACTTGCTGTGGTCAGTTTTCTTCCCTTTTCTCACCTTTCTCCATCCAGCACCAAAGGGGAGATTGGACCAATTTCATCATCTTGTGAAAGATCTTTCCTAGTTGAGTCCTGAGTCAGGCTGAATCTGAATTGAGCCTTTTGCTCTTGCTAGGTAGGATGCTGAAAAAAATAGCTGCTAGAGTTTTAATTTTCCTGATTACTTAAAGTTGAGACAACAAATGATAAGATTTTGGTTTTTTATGGCCAAGTGATATTCCACTGTGTCCATCTTCCTTGTCCAATCGTCTGCAGATGGTCACTAGGTTGCTTCCATAGCTTGGCTATTGTAAATAGAGCTGCAGTGAACACAGAGGTGCACATATCTTTTTAAATTAGTGTTTGGATTTTTTTTGGTAAATAAAATGGAATGGAACTGCTGGGTCATAAGGTAGTTCTATTTTTAATTTTTTGAAAAACCTCCATACTTGGCCATAAAAAAGAATGAATTCTTATCATTTGTGACAACATGGATGGATCTAGAAATATTTTTTAGTGTTTTATTGGAAAGAAGCTGAGAAAATATTAAACAACATTGGCAATTTTTTTATTTTGGAAAATTCCAGACAAATACAAGCAGATATAGTATAGTATAAGGACCACTCATAGATCTAGTAATGATCAACATTTTGCGATTCTTTGTTCATCTATTCGTTTCCACTTTATTTTTCAGCAGTATTTTAAATCAAATTCTAGACATCATGTCCATTCATTGTAAATTCTTCAGAATGCACCTCTGACTTTTAAAAAATTTAATCATTGTGCTGTTATCACACTTAACAAAACTGTGTAATTTCTTAATTTAGGTAGTTTAAAATCTGGTCCCTATTTAGATTTTCTTGATAATCACAAAAATGTCTTCTCACAATTTTTTTTTGTTTAAATCAGGATCCAGTGAGGTCTATACATTGCATTTGATTGTAATGTCTTTAAAGGAAATTGTCTATGTATCTATCATCTATCTGTCTATCTACCCATCTATCTATCCACCCATCTATTGCATACCACAATTATTTTCTCTTTTCAGGTGTACAGCACAGTGGTTAGATAATCATATGCTTAAAAGTGTTCCCCCTGATATTTCAAGTACTCACCTGGCCCCGTACATAGATACAGTATTATTGATTATATTCCCCATGCTGTAATTTACATTCCTTTGACTGTTTTGTATCTGTCAATTAGTACTTCTTAATCTCTTCACCTTTTTCACCCAAGCCCTCCATCCCCACTCCCTCTGGCAACCATCAGTCTGTTCTCTATGAGACTGTTTCTATTTTGTTCATTTATTTGTTCTTTAGATTCCACATAGAAGGGAAATACATGGTATTTGTCTTTTGCTGTCTGACATTTCACTTAGCATAAGTCCCTCTAGGTTCATCCATGCGGTTGTAAATGGTAAGATTTCACCCTTTTTTGTGGCTGAGTAATACTCCATTGTGTATATGTATCACAACTTTTTTATTGACTTGTCTGTTGATGGGCACTTAGGTTGCTTCCATGTCGTGGTTATTGTAAATAATGCTGCAGTGAACATAAGGATGCACATACTCTTTTGAAGTAGTGTTTTGGGTTTCTTCAAATATGTAGCCAGAAGTGGAATCGCTGGGTCATAAGGCAGTTCTATTTTTAATTTTTTGAGGAACCTTCATACTGTCTTGCACAGTGGAGGCATCGATCTGTATTCCCACCAACAGGGCACAAGTGTTCCCTATTCTTCATGGGTCTTTGTCTTTTTTGCTGTTGAGTTGAATGTGTTTTTATATATTCTGGATAGTAGAGCCTTATCAGATATATGATTTGCAAATATTTTCTTCCATTCTGTAGGTTGTCTTTTCACTTTCTTGATAGTGTCCTTTGATGCACTATCAAGGTTTTAAATCTTGATAAAATTTATTTTATCTACTTTTACTTCTGTTGCTCACGCTTGTGTGGTCATTGAATTCACTGGTTCTGTGACACCAAAAAAAAAATCCATTGACAAAGCTGAGGTCATGAAGATTGACTGTTATGTTTGCTCCTTAGAATTTTATAGCCTTAGCTCTTGCATTAGGTCTTTGAACCATTTTGAGTTAATTTTTGTGTATGACATGAAGTAGGGATTCAAGTTTATTCTTTTGCATATGGCTATCCAGTTCTACCAGCACCATTTTTTGAAGACTATGATTTCCCCATTGAAAAGTCTTGCCCATATTTTTTTTACACAACTCAGTGAAAACCTGCTCTCACCCACAGAGTCGATAGGGCTTTGTCTTGGAGTTGGGACTAACGCCCAGGGTTGCTGCTCCCTCCCTGCCCAGCTTCCTGCTTCAAACTTTTGCTGCTGCCCTGATTGGTGTCTTGGTGCTTTCCCTGCCAGTGTGATGATTCCACCTTCTTCACTTTTTCCTCCCCTCCTTCAGGGTTAGTTTTTAGTTGCTGTCCTATTTTATTAGAGATCAATGTGCAGAGACTGCACTGTGAAGTACTGGGAGGGGTAGAGAAATCAGTCTTCCTGAGGGGGAAGGGCAGCAATGTAAGAGGAGAAAAAAATTGTAAACAGGGAGGGTGGGGAGGTCACCCTGAACTTCTGGGGAATTGGTAAGGGAACAGGCCCTGGGTTCAGCTTGGGAGGTGGGACCTGATTAATGAACACGTAGGGAATGGCACTTGGACTTGCCTTCCCAGAAACAAGACTTGTGCAAGTCCACAGTTCAAGCAGGTGAAAGTCTGTGGACTACAGTTGCCATGGAAAGGGCACTTTTTGTCCTCCAAGCTAGTATAGAAGTAGTCATACAAATAAATGAAATGCCCAACCTCACTCTCTGCCTTTCCCATCACCTCACTTACTGTGCAGGTTACTGATTAAACCTCTCCAGACATGGGAGCTCCCAGGTAGCTGAGGGGCAGCCTCCCTCACCTCAGGCCCTGATGGAGCCCACTAAGGGTAGCAGTCAGCTTTTTCGGAATTCTGCTTTTAAATAGTGCTTGGTGTAAGCGGTTCCCTCCCTGTGTGATTTCTGGGGCTCCTTACTGGGCGCCAGGCTTGGTGTCTTTCCTGCTCTACCTGCTTCCCAGAGTCAGCAGTCCCTTGAATAATGTACAAGAAGGATGATAGCTGCCCTTTCTTCAGTGCCAGTCTCTACTTAGTCTCCAATAGGGGCCTTGCTTATTCTGTTTCCATTTCTCCTATGAATCTTGCATGGGTAGGGATTTTAATTTTATTTTCCATTTCCTGGAAGAGAACATTGAGTCTCAGAGAAGCTAGGTAATTTGTCCCAAATCACACAGCTGAGGTATGACAAACCCAGGATTGAATCTGGGACGTCTCTAGCCCCAAAGTCTGTGTTCTCCGCAAAGCTCTGTTCTGTGCTTGGATGCAATGAAGGCATAGGATGATGGAATGGGATAGATTATATAGTCCTATGTCTATGCTCTCATTTTACAGATAGGGAAACTGAGGTGCTGATTGGGGAAGGGACTTTGTGCGTTAAACAGTAGCAGTACTAGGATGAGAAGCAGGATGCCTTGATGCTGAATCCAAACCTTTTCCTTCCTTCCCTTCCTTCCTTCCTTCCTTCCTTCCTTCCTTCCTTCCTTCCTTCCTTCCTTCCTTCCTTCCTTCCTTCCAAAAGCACTTGGTAAACTGTTAAATCACCTGGATATGGAGGAAAAAAATACTGCAGGATAAAGTTTGGGCACCTAGGATATTCGAAGACTAATGTCAGAGCACCCAGGCTGACGTGAGCTTGGCCATGGTACCCCCAGGCACTCCTGGTGGCTTTCGGGGTCCCAAGGACAGAAAGAATACACCCCTGAAGTTAGGAGTGACTCATGGGGGGAAAAATTTGTCTTAGGTTTTTTCTATTCATGAGGCAGTTTCTGTTAGAATTCTTTATCTGCCCTGTTAGCTGAAAATAAGAGTATTCTATAAAAAAGATTTCTATTAGCCCAACACTTCTCGGAAGTGTTTATGGACTTTGTTAATAGCTTATCATAGGAGTTGCGTGTTTGTTATTTGTGACTAATAACAGCAAGGCAAATATTAATGAGAATATCACAGTCTACTATGATGTGTTTTCAAAAAACATTACAAATTAACTACTCTGGAAAATAAACCAATCAAGGGCATTTTAAAGGCAGTAGTAGCCTTGTAATATATATATCTATACACACACACACACACATACACACACATATAAAATATAAATAATATAATATATATGTGTATATATGCATATATAATATATGTAAAATATATTTTTGCTCACTGTACTTATAAGCTAACCTACTGAATCATTCTTAACAGCATTCCATTGTAATCAGCTAATGGGGCCCTTCAATTGAAGTAACTTATGAGCTGATCCAGAGGCATGGGACGGGAGGGACAGGCATTAGGATGACTCATCACAATTTCAAGTGGCCCAGTGTGTAGCGTCAGGAAGGAGTGACCATTTCACCCGTGGCAAGGCTAAGGTGCAGCTGGGGATGCTTTTCTTCTTCGGCTGCTGCAGAGGGCAGGGCGGAAGTGGTCCAGGACCTGGGGAAAAAGTACTTTCCTTGTCGGCAGGACTTTCCCTCTTCCAGCCACTGAGGGTCACAAGCCCCACTTCAAAGACATGAACCCTGAGACACAGAGAGGTGCAATGTTTTATCCAGTCACTCAGGCATATAGTGGCAGTGCTGGGGTTAAAGTCCAAGTCCTTTCACCAGCAGCCCTGGGGTGGGGGGGTGGGGGGGTGGGGGGGGTCGGGTCTCTTTAGAAGTCACCAGGTCTCTCCCTACTTCTTGCTTCTGGCTCTTCTCCTCTACCAGGAAATACAATGCCATTAGGTCTCCTGGGGCTAGAGAATCTGCAGGGGACCCAAGGCATAGGGTCCTCAGGAAGTCTGTCTTGGTGGGGGAGGAGGTCAGTCTTGGGGGAGGAGGTCATGCATTAACACATAGGCTTGGAGTTGGCATGGGACAAGCTTTCAGACAATGAAGAGGCAGGAAATAGGAGATTTGGTTGGTGGGGACCTGAGTCACTGGAGGACCCTGACAGAGGGGGAAGATAAGAATAGAGGAGATGCAAGGGTACCATTTCCCAGGGCTCTTAGTGGGTGGCCCTTCACATGCCCTGAAATGCGATAGATTTTATACAGCAAAACAGCTCATGCATTGCATCTAGGGGACATCTAGTTTCTTTCCTACCTAGAGATTTGAAAACAAAAAATTCACTTTGATCATTCCTGGTAGCATTTCAGAGGCTGTGAACATTCATTTTGGGTGACTCCAGTGCTCTCTGTTGGTTTAATTAACAACTGCACCATCCAGCCAGACAGAAGTTTGTTTATGGGGCTAAAATGAAACAGAGAGGAGAAAAAGAACTCTATCAAGAACTGGTGAATTCAGGGGTGAAAAGGAAACAATTTGCCCTCAGATTATATAAGCTAATTTAGGTAAATCCACCTAGCACCAAGACTGCCAAGCAGAGTGGTGCTCTGATTGTGTTCTTAGTGGTGTTCTGATTGTGTTAGGGTCAAGATGAACTCCATCTGGGCCGGAGAGATAAAATTTTGATGTTGCTGAAGTTTCTCTCTAATCCAGGGTGGGGCCGGGCTTTTCCTTGTACGGGACTCCTCTCCAGCACTCAAACTTGCTTTGGGAGTAGATCTGATAAACCTTTGCACTCTAAGGTGTAAACTGGGTAATAGCTTAGAGCGTCAGTCCATAGGTCCGCTGAAAGGAACCTCAAGGCATTAATAGTTGTTCCTTGACAGAGTTCCAAAGTTAAATAGGTTTGTGAAGGGTCATTTACCACACTTCCTTCCTGGGGATTCACAGTCCAGGCAGTAAGTTAAAGGGTCAGAGGAGTTGTGTGGTAAAGAAACTGCCTTAACTTGGTGTAATCCAGCACTTCACAGATCTCTTTGACCATAGAATCCTTTTCTTTTCATGGAATATCTATTATCCTCTTAGGTAAAGCTTGTTGGATAACTTAGGAATAGAGCATGTCTCTCGAGTATTTGTACCCTTTTTATTTTACTGCGGGGGGAACACTTAGCATGTGATCTATCCTCTTGACAAGTTCTGTGTATAATATATTATCGTCAACTTCTAGGTACAATGTTGTACAGCAGGTGCTCTGGGGAGCTTGTTCATGCTACTTTACTGAAACTCCATGTCTATAATTAATAACTCTTCATGTCCCCTTCACCCCAGCAGCTGGTAACCACCATTCTAGCCTTCAAGTTTATGAATTGACTATTTTAGATACTCATATACATGGAATCGTGCAGTACTTGTCTTTCATGTTCTTAACTGGGGATAAAAATATGACTATTTAATTGTGGTATTTCAGCCAAAGGGCAAGGGGGTGTGAGCCAACATTGGACCCTAGAAATCACAGGCGTTGGCACTACTCAGGAGACGGCTTCTGCAAATCCCTTCAAGTCCATCACCTGGCCCTGCAGCCAGTTGGTCTCTCTCAGCCCTAACTCACCTTCCTCTCCTTCCAGGCAGACATCTTCTCTGGGGCCATATTCATCAACTTGGCCTTGGGCCTGGATCTCTACCTGGCCATCTTTCTCTTATTGGCAATCACTGGCATTTACACAATCACAGGTGAGTCCATTCAAATAACGGCTCAAGCCCAGCCCTGGGTTGGTCACTAGGGAAGAATGAAGGGAAGTAGGAAACAAGGTTTCTTCTCTCAAGTAAGAAAAGATTCACCCAGGATGGGGTATTTGCTTGGTCCCAAATCACAGACCCTAACAAGTTATATGTAGATTGCCCCTGAAAACTCCAGTGTTGGCTGGCATGGTCAAGACAGCTTCCTCCAGGAGGTGGGGCAGGGCTCGGCCGGGGAGGTTGTGGTGAGAACGTGGGTAAGTTGGGAGAATCAGGGAGGGAGGGCCAGGGGCAGGGGCAGGCGGGAGCGTGGCACGGAGGCAGGAATGGGCAGCACGTGGGGCGGGGCAGGGTGAGCAGCAGGTGTGGGTAGCTGCAGGAGGGTGGTCAGTGGGACCTAGGGGGAGGCATGTGTCGGGGGGTGATAAGTCCTGATGATTCAAACGAGGTCACAGGGCAGGGGCAGGGGCCTTGGTAGGTAGACAGAGGTCTTGGATTTGATGTGACAGGGACTGGGAGGCACTCTGGGGAAGAAGGACGAGACTGACACATTCCAGGAGATCTCAGAGGAAGACTGGGGAAGCTGATGACATGAGGAACAACAGTCCACAAAGGGGGCCCCTTTGTGGAGGTGTTTCTCTGCCCAAGTCAGGGGCCCAGGGTCAGCGACGGAACCTGCTGCTCAGCTGGAGGCCCATAGCTTCGGGGACAAGTACTTAGATGGGCTGAGGACAGGGTCGACACACAAGTGCCCCTCTGAATGTGACTGATGACGTCCCAGTCATCCGGCAGAGATGTCAGCCCTTTGCTCTCCTCTGTGTGGAAGGTGCTTTTTCATACCTCCAAGGAGCCATCTCCTGGCTTAAAAGGATCACATCAGACTCTTCCTCCTCAAATATGGAGAAGCATTTCTCCTTTCCTCAGCGTTCCCAGCTTGTCTATGAGGAGTGGGGATGTGGGATCACGCTGAGTGGCAGACCTCTGTGACAGGACAAGAGGAGGAAGGAAGGGAGGGCAGGCGGGTGACTGGGGGGCGTGCCCAGAGGTTTGCAGAGGGAGGGTGACGGTGGGGACAGGAGGCAGGCTGACGGGTCGCTCTCCTGTGTGAGGTCAGATACATTGTCTCCTTGTCTGCTTAGGGGGCCTGGCGGCGGTGATTTACACAGACACCTTGCAGACGGCAATCATGCTCGTGGGGTCTTTCATCCTGACCGGGTTTGGTAAGTGGGGCTGGGGCAGGCTGAGCAGGCAGGGAGGCAGGGGTCGAGGTCCAGCCTCCCTGCCTGCCTTCCCTTGGGGAGTGGTCCAGCCCTGACTGGCCATCACTGTGGGTGTGTTGGGGGGCGCCTTCCTCAGCCCTGGACGTCTGAGCATGGGCCTGGCCCAGACAATACCTTATTCCCTACTGTCCTCTCTAGACAGCTGGGCCGGTGCGCCCCGCTGCGGGCCTGTGATGATGTGGCCTTCTCTCCACAAGGAAACTGGACAAAAAAAGGGATGAGACTAAATGTCCATCAGGCTAAATATATTCAAATGCTGTGTTTTGAATCTCAGATTATATCTTGTCTACATTTTGAATGTTAAATGGCCTTTCTTGTATGAGTTGATGATAGGGAACGATCCTTTTCTTATTTATGCCCTTATCTGACAAAACTTAAAAAATAAGCCGGTCTATGGTGGCCCCGCCATGCCCTAATTTGGTAAAATTGTCTGTGAAATCCTAAAGACAAGACTAGAAACCCTAGCAGAGTTACTTGTTGCGGGAGGATATAAAATACATTTTATTATACATTATATAAAATCCATTGAACCACCCCCGTGGTCCCAGGGGTCTGTGGGGCAGGGACTGGAAGGGCTTGCTTAAGGACACAGTCGACGGTGACAGGGCCCCAGACTCCGCACCCATTCTCTGTCCATCCCGCCGCATGGCTGGGACCGGGGCGGTCGGGCCTGGCCTGCATGTCCCTGCGGCTGTGTCTGGAGTCCCAAAAGCCACTGCCGACAGTAGAGGATGATGGGAAAACAGTTTTTGAATCTCGTTCAAAACCAAGCTCTTCCTGTCAGTAACTTGAATACCGTCCGTTTGTGAAGACGTTTGTGGTTGGAGCCCATGTACAGGTTATTGCTTTGGATCCTCAGTGGTCCCTAAGTGGGCTGGGCAGGGTTAAGAGTGGATGAGAAAGCCAAGGCCCAGAATGGCAAAGGGACTTGCCCAAGACCACACAGTGAGGGCTTGGCTGCAGGTCCGCTCCTCTCAGTTTCTCAGGCATCCACAGGAGTAAACACCTGTGGAAAAGGTGAGAGTTTCAGGGTGTTGATTTTTGTTACTGGTATTTTCCAGCTTTTCACGAAGTGGGAGGGTATGAGGCCTTCATGGAAAAGTATATGAAAGCCATTCCAACTGTGGTTTCTGATGGAAACATCACCATCAACAAGGAATGCTACACCCCAAGGAGTGACTCCTTCCACATCTTTCGAGATCCCCTCAAGGGAGACCTGCCATGGCCTGGGCTCATCTTTGGGCTGTCCATCCTCGCCCTGTGGTACTGGTGCACAGATCAGGTACACACGCTAGATGCGCAGGGTGGACAGGGTCTTACCCAGGGTGCTGAAGGGACTCCTGTGTGCCTGCAGCTTGTGGGGCTGGGGAAGGTAGGGCAGGGCTCACGTGCTCTGGGGTCACTGAGCCTTGATAATGTGGGAGTGCCAGGCCAAGGACCCAGGGTGCGGGGGAGGGAGCTGGGGTTGCCAGAAGGTGTCATCACCTGCACCCCTCCCTCACTGAGCTTTCCCTGGCAGGTCATTGTGCAGCGCTGCCTCTCTGCCAAGAACATGTCTCACGTGAAGGCTGGCTGTGTGATGTGCGGGTACCTGAAGCTGCTGCCCATGTTCCTCATGGTGATGCCAGGAATGATCAGCCGCATCCTGTACACAGGTGATACCTTCTGCTGGACTCAGTGGGCACTCTCTCATCCCTGGTTCCGAGTCACTGCTAAAGCCCCGTAGTTCCCTGCTCCTTCCTTTCCCCTTCCTCCTCCTCCACTTCCTCCTTGTTCCTCCTCCTCCTTCCTCCTCCTCCTCTTTTTCCCTTCTTGATACAAAGTACCAAGAACAGTGAGCAACTTGAGATCACAGAACCCATGGAGTTGCCTTCTCTGGTTTTTAAAAATTCTCTGAAGTCATGATATGCCTCTTGGTATAGCTTCTTCCAGCTAATATATGCTCGCTTCTGGCTCAGTCCCACACAGGCTGAGTCCTTAATGTTGGGAGACTCCAACCAACCTCTAGTTATCGCCTGCTCTGAGCCCCGTTTCCTGGACCATTTCCTTGAAGGAGCCCTGAGTCTTGCAGTTTGCTTTCTAGGGTGACAGATTCTCTCTTGGTCCTTTTGTGGCCTCTCCAGCATTGCCGTTGCATTTTTTTTTTTTTTTGGTAGCCATCATAGGTCAAAACTTTTCTGGACTATGACATAATGGCTAGAGAGAGAGAGAGAGAGAGAGGTGGGGGGTGGGGGGAGAGAGAGCGAGCACGCGCTGCAGAGTGATGGTTTGGTGAGCATCCTCCAGAATGAAGACAAGACAGTCTGGGGCCAGCTGTGTCCATTTCACATGCTTCTGATAGCGCGCTCACACTCCATACTGGCTCGCCTGTCACGAGAGAAATATACCTCACTGAATGGTTTACATGCTAATGGATATAACACACAAAAATATTGCAGGTTAATCAGTGCTCTAAGGAGCAGCCCTAAATGATACATTGATAGTAGGTACCTAATAAATGTTTGTTGATCTGAATTCTATAAATGTTTCCAGAATTTTCTCTAAGTCTCTCGATCATGTTCCTTTCCCCTTCCAGGCTATCTCCTTTCTACCTCTACCCTAGAGGTTCCACATGTTGGAAATACCACCCAACAGCTCCCACCCTGGGGAATTCCCTTAGGTGTCTGAGAGCTGCTTGTGAGAGCTGCTTAAAATAAGCCTCAAATTAGGAGTGACAAATCACTATGATCTTTTTCTTTCTTTCATTTTTAACGTTTTATTGTTGTGCTATTACAGATGTCCCATTTTTCTGCCTTCACCCCCCGCCCCCCACTTCCATGGTCAGTCCCCACACTGCTGTCCGTGTCCGTGACTGTGATCTTCAGGCAAATAAGACGATTGTTACTCCTGAGCGGCAGGGCAGCCAGCTGAAGCCGAAGGAGTGTGCGCCCCCTTCCCACGCCAAGCGTTTCTTTGCTTCCCCCTCCTTTGCCCAGGAACTGCCTTCTCTCCCCAGGCAGCGCTTGGAGATGGTCAGGACCAGCAGGGCAAGGACCTGGCAGTGAAGGGCTCAGCCAGGAGCCCCACTCTTTGTGGGAATATTTCAGGGCCTTGGGCAGGAATGTCTTGTTTGAAGCCTTGTTTTAAGAAAGTGAATCTTGAAAGTATTTCTCCAATGGCTGCTTGCTGACATGGCTCTTCATCTCTCTCCAGAAAAAGTGGCCTGCGTGGTCCCCTCGGAATGTGAGAAGTACTGCGGCACCAAGGTGGGCTGTACCAACATTGCCTACCCGACCCTGGTGGTGGAGCTCATGCCCAATGGTGAGATTCGTCCCCACTGGCGGGGTCTTTCTTGTGAGACTGAGAGGGCTTGGGCTTTCCACGGGTTCTGTGGGTCTTCTGGGCCAAGCCATGGCCAAGCCTGGAAGTCGGTGGGGGAAGCCTCATCCCAGGTGATGTCAGCGTTTGAACACGTCTTCCCTCAGTGGGGAGGACACATAGGGCTCAGTTGGGCTCCCAGACCAGGCACTTGGCCATCAGTCAGGCTTGGAAAAGAGGTGATTTGAAAACATGTTAAAGACAAACACAGCTTTTCCGTGCTCGTCGAAAGGTCTTTTGAAGCTTTCCTGCAGACACTAACGGCTTGCGCTAAGGGGAGGTTTACCTGGAGCATGAATTGACTTCAAGACCGTTCCCAGGAAAACCATGGAGAGAAAGGCAAGGAGTGATTCTCGCTCTAGAATGAGGACGTTTGAGGCAGTCAATGGGTGGGGTACAACGGGGCTTCTCACTATAGAGGATGTGTTACCCCAGACGACTGAGGGCAGAGAGTCCAGATTAGAGTTTTGAGGTAGACCTCTGGGGCCACTTTTCATGTTTTATATTGAAGAAAAGTCAAATTCTGGCTCAAGTGATGCAAATGTATTTAGCTTGGTGGGGGGTGGTGTCTCAGGAAATCAAAAACTCAAAGGTATTGATTTGGAGAGTTTAGAGTAAACTTGTGTAAAACTTTATTACTGAAAGAAAACATAGAGATCACCTAATCAAAGCTCTTCATTTTACAATTGGGGAAAGTGAGGCCTGCAGAAGGAAAGTGACTTTTCCAAGCCACACAGCAACTCAGTGTCTCTCTCATGTAACTCTGCTCAAGGCTGGAATAGAAGAATTTGGGATGGTCTTAAAAATTTTTTTTTTAAACCACAGACTTGATGCATGACCTTGGGCAAACCATTTGGATTCAAATTCTATAAACATGGAAGTAATAGTTAACTATTCCACTTACCTGGGCTGCTTATTAATTAAGGTTACAATTAGTATGGGTCACATGACTCTTTTAGAGTTCTGCCTTGGATCACACTGGCCTCTGTATAGGGGTTATGCCACTTCTTCAGATTAGCAGACAGACCCTGGGGGAAGACTGTGGCTCTGCACATGGTGCTAGAGGGCACTGTGCGTGACAGGAAGGCATGGCCGCAGGATTGTGTCTGAGGCTTTCGGGAGGCGGTTATCAGACTAGCCAGGGCTGTCCAGGAGGGAGCAGACTCCCTGCGAGGTAGTGGGTTTCCTGTTGCTGGAGGGTTTGAGCCCAGAAAATGTGACGGGGATTCAGGTCTCAGACGGATGGCGGGCTAAGTGAGCCTACGTTTACTTTTAATTCTGAGGCTGAGGCTGTCCTCTCGATGGTGGGCCCTCAGCGCGGCCTGCCCTTCCAGCCTCATCGGGGAAAACCCTGTGCTCTCCTTGGTATGAAAAGTCTATTAAAGATTATAGCAACCATGCTTTTCATGACTAGGGAAAATTTTAAAATGGCAATTCCTTATTCTGATTTGGGCAGCCATAGTATCTCCCCCCCTATTTAACCCACCAAGAAATGAAGCCCATGGGTTGGCATGCCTTGCCAAGGGTCAGTTGGACAGAGAGCCTTGTCTTTTCTTTTTCCAGATAACTTTACTGAGCTATACTTCACACACTATACGATTTTCATAGGGTATACAATGAATGGCTTTTAGTATTATATTCACAGAGTTGAGTAACCATCAACACAATCAATTAAAAAATTTTTGTCTTCCTCCACAGAAATCCTGGTCCTTTGGCAATCACTCCATACTTCATCCCAGACCCCTAGCCCTTGGCAACCACTAATCTCCTTTCTGTCCCTGTGGCTTTGCTTACTCTGGACATTTCATAGAAATGGGATCATACAATATTCTTTTGTGTCTGGCTTCTTCCACTTGGTATAATGTTTTCAGGGTTCATCCAGGTTGTAGCGTTGTATCAGTACTTCATTCCTTTCTATTGATGAATAAGATTCCATTGCATGGATATACTACATTTTGTTTATCCATTTATCAGTGGATGGACATTGTGTGTTTCCACTTTTTAGCTATTATATATAATACTGGTATGAACATTCATGTACAAATTTTTGTATGGACACATGCTCTCATTTCTTTTGGGTAGCTACGTAGGAGTAGAATTGGTGGGTCATATGGTAACTCAGTGTTTAACTATTTGAGGAACTGCAAGACTATTTTCCATAGCAGCTGTACCATTTTACATTACTGCCAGAAATGTATGAGGGTTTCTATTTCTCTACATACCTACCCACACTTGTTATTATCTGTCTTTTTTTTTATTATTATAGCCACCCTAGTAGGTGTAAAGTAGTAGCTCATTGTGGTTTTGATTTAAATTTCCCTGATGAACATTTTTTCATGTGATTATTAACCACTTGTTTATCTTTTTTGGAGAAGTGTCTATTCAGATCCTTTGGCCATTTGTAAAATGAATTGTCTTTTTATTATTGAGTTGTAGGAGTTCTTTACATATCCTGTATACTAATCTATATTAGATATGATTTGCAAATATTTTCTCCCATTCAATGGATTGTCTTTTTACTTTCTTGAATCCTAGTGTAAACATTTATGCTATATCACGAGTCTTTTGGATGAGAGATCTTATAAAATCCCCTTAGGTGGAAACACGTACACGCACACACCATCACCACCATCATCGCCATCATTATTCAACTGCAAAATATGAATCTCATATATCTTTTGTCCCTACCTCTTTGTTGACTGCTGTGGGTTTACAATATAAGGTAAAGCCACAATCCATTCTTTAAAATGTCTAGTCTTTCTGGAGAGACAAATCAAAGACCAACCATGGCATGATTTCAGAAGGCAAACAAATGTATCCTCACATGTTCCAGTACCAAAGAGCTGATGTGCTATGTGTACCACTCATTACCTCCTTCTCTTCCAGGACTGCGAGGCCTGATGCTGTCAGTCATGTTGGCTTCTCTCATGAGCTCCCTGACATCCATCTTCAACAGCGCCAGCACCCTCTTCACCATGGACATCTACACCAAGATCCGGAAGAAGGCGACTGAGAAAGAGCTCATGATTGCAGGAAGGTAAATGCAGCTTCCCCCTGCCATGCACCAGGGAAGCTTGAGTAATTACAGAGGTTCCCCCAAGCTAGAGAAGGCTGGTAGATGCTTGGATAGAATGGGAGCAATCTCTGTGGCTAATTATATTTGCCCTCCAGTAGCCTCAACTTTAAATTGGAGATCATCAAACAATTCCCCTCTAGAGTGAGGAGTGACATCAGAAATCATCTAATCTAACCCTCAATTTATCAGTGAGGAAAATAAGGGTCATCTGGTCTAAATCTAGGCAGCTGGGACAATGGCAGGGCCATGACCGGAACCCATGGCCAACTGAGTCCTTGTCTGTGGTGCTTTACACTGCCCCATGCTGCCCGCCACAGCGCTCCACACTGAAGCTTTCCTTACCGGCCATCTTTGAGGTCCAGATGCCCCCAGTGACCTGACCCTTAGCTGCAACATTTTGCAGGGCCACTGTGAGTATCAAGTGATACTGTGCTTGGGAACATGGTCTGTAAAATCTAAAACGGTGGTCTATGTACACTTTTGTTATTGTCAGTGGGCTAATGGACACAACAGGATATGGAAAGCAGTAAGCATTGACACGTGGGTCAGGTGTGCTCATTACCATGATTACCCATGATCAAATGGTCTGAACAGAGGACTGGCAGGAGCTCTGCTGTGTCTCTCCATGGGGCTGTGGCAGGTCAACCTCCACAGGGCAGGTGGAACAAGTCCCTGGGAAGTCAGTCAAGAGAAAGGTCCCCTGTGAGTGCAGGAAGGGTAAGGGCTCCTCCTCATTGTTCTCATGATCAAGATTAGGGCAAAGAAAGAAAGGAAAACTGACAGGTCACTCTCCGGTGACAAGATGAGAGTCTGCTACTCTGCTTCACAAGATGTAACACCGTTACCCTGACTAATTTTTCACTGGAAAGGAGTTTACTGGCTTTTTATGTTATTTATAAGGCTCAAGATGCAACCTGGGAAGAGAATCATTTTGTTACTTTGCTCAGAGCTGGACCTTTGGCCCTGAGACTATGGTGAACTTGCATTTTTGTGTGTGCCATGACTGCCACCCTGGGGCTTGTCCCTGCTCTAGATAAGCTCACACTTACAGGAAATAATCCCACACTTTGCTGTGGGGACTGTACGAGCCATCAAGGGTTCAGAGAAACAAGGAGTGTAGCATGCAGTAGTTGGGGAAGGCTCCTGGGGGAGGGGGTCCCTTAGCTGGGTCCACAATCCTGGGTGAGGTTTCGGTAAGTGGGGTGTGGTGGGGAAGGCATTCCAGAGTGAGAAATATGTGAGCAAAAACAGTGTTTCTTGAAGGTTATTTTCAGACTTCTTTTGCCTTAAATTCAGGTAATCAAGGCATGGGAATCACAGCCTTCTTTCTAATTAAATCAAGAGTACCAGTAAGAGAACTTGTAAGGGAACCCTCCAATCATTTCAGGGTTTGAAATGAAACTCAATTGGAGGAGAGAGAGAAATACTTGGCAGTGTTCCTTTCCATCCAGACTGTTCCTTTATAAGTTCTTCTTGGCTTATGATTTTTAACTTTACTATGAAGAAGCAGCAGAAGAGGAAAGAGGTGAAGAAAATAATATAGTCTTTGCTATGTATTGAGTGCTTACTACTTGCTAACCTATTTGCCTACTATTTGCTTTACTATAGCTAGTCCTTATTCCAACCTTGTAAGAATCAGTCATAGTGTTCCCAGGTTATAGATGCAGAAATCAAGACTCTGAGAGGTAAAGCAAGGTGTCCTATGTCGCAGAGAGAAAATGAAAATTTGAATCCAGGACTGCCTGGATCCAAAGTTCACATCTGTGTTCCTATACTCTACTGCCTCTCAAAGTGGGATTCTCTTACGGTAGTGACTGGTTTAGGTTACTATTGAAAGTCAACTGCATTCCAGTTACTCATAGGCACAGGTGCCTTTCCCAAGGAAGCAGAATATGGGAGAAAAAAGCCTCAAGAATGAATTTGCTAACTATTTCCTTGCTGGGGTCATTATATATATATATATATATATATATATATATATATTATATATATATATAATGCTAGTTATTTATGTATTAGACAAACAGCTATGTATTTTTATTCATGTAGGGCCAACTAGTGACACTCTTTTGGGGCTTTGATTTCAGATTGTTCATCCTGGCACTGATCGGCATCAGCATCGCCTGGGTGCCCGTTGTACAGTCAGCACAAAGTGGGCAGCTCTTTGATTACATCCAGTCCATCACGAGTTACTTGGGCCCGCCCATCGCCGCTGTCTTCCTGCTCGCCATTTTCTGCAAGAGAGTCAACGAGCCGGTAAGTATCGTTCGCGTGTAGCCAGAAAGGCTCACTCTGGCACAGAAGTGCCTGCCTGGACTTGCCTGTTCCCTGCGGGAGGGATTCAGTTTCCCAGGGATCTCAGGCTGGAACGGATGGGCTGCTGAGGGTGTGTATGGGGATGTTTCCAGGGGCCATGGGATTCTCAGGGGTTCACATTCTCTTGGACTCCCCTCTCTTCCTTACTGCAGGTTCCAAGCTAACTTCCCACTAATGATGTACATTTTCCATCCAATCTTGGTGATTTTTCCCCAGTGACATAGCTCTCCCTGGGAAGTCTGTAGCTCCTGGCAAGCAGCTGCAGAGGAAGTCCTTGCACAGGCCGCCTCCCATGGTTCTGCAGTGAGCTCAGCTTCCCGGCCAGCACTTACCAGAGCCCAGTGAGGGTGCTCGAGCACTTTATATGCAAAATAACATAACAGTCGAGGGGTAAAAGGTGGCACAAAAAATTAGTACGGAGGGATTCCTAGAAAGGCTACTCCAACATGAGCTGAGACTGAGAGGGAGGAGAAGGCATTCAAGGCAGAGAGAACAACACTACCCAGGACTTGGAGGTGGAGGCAGGAGGACAGGGCAGAGGGTGAGAAACTTGTCAGGCATCTCACCTGGCAGGAGAGGGAGTTAGTGTGTGTGGATAATCGAAGACATAGTCGGAGAGGCAGGTTAAGTTTAGATGAGGCATGGCCCCTTCGAAAGCCAGGCTAAAGAGTTTGGGTCACCAGTGGGGTACTTTGTAGGTTCTGAAGCACCGTGAAAATGATTCCTTCAGACACGGCTGCTGATTGGAGTGTTGCTCAGCTGTCTCTGCATCCGACCATCGACGTGCTTGGGGAGGGCAGGGGAGCCACGGGGGTGCTGACTGTGTGGCTCATTGTGAAACAACGCAAATGGTGACCCATGTTTGGTTGGAGACAACCCCTTTCTCTCAGTAGGTCTGAAACAAACACACATCAGGGAAATACCTCACTGGAGTGACCCCGCTTTGGGGGGCATAAATCACCACATGTGTCTCTCTTTATTCGACATTTGCTATTAGGGAGATAGTCCAGACTTGCCTGGGACACAAAACTGGGTGAACAGATAAAGACCCCTGGGAGATCAGAATTGGACCTGAAAGTGACCTTGGCAAGTTAGGGAAATGGGCACACAATGGGGTGAGTTTCCTTAGGGATTGGCAAAGCCTCGTTCACTGGGAGATTTCTAAAAGACAAGTTAGGAGCATGTGGCTAGAAGCTTAGCTGGGTACTGTGGTGGGCCACGAGCAGATTCAATTCAGCAATGGACCAGGGCTTTGAAAAAAATAAGGCTAAGGATTGGGATAGAATGTAAATGTCCTCAAGGCGGGGGGTGATTCTGCCCTCCCCAGAGGACACAGGGCAATGCCTGGGCACATTTTTGACTACTATAATTTGGGGAATATGACTGGCATTTAGTGGGTGCAGCTCAGGGATGCTGCTAAACATTCTCTAATATGCAAGACAGCCCCCCAGCCCAGCAATGAGTTATCCAGCCCAAGTGTCCAGAGATGAGGGTGAAGAACCCTGACCTAGAATCTCCAGAGAGCAGCACGCAGAGGCTGTGAGCGACCCTCAGGACTGGCCAGGCTCTGTGTCTGCTGCGGGGTGACTCCAAATTTTGAGGGAAATGTCCAAGGCTCCCAGATTTTTCAAGCACCTCCTGAGAATGAAGACTAAAGTAATAGGAGACACCAAGTGCCAGAAAAGAAAGAAAGCCTTAGCAAGTTTTATTGCTACTGTTCACACAAAACAAACTCAAGAAATCATTTATATGACCAAATAAATGTATGGGGGATAAATGGGAAACATCTTTTCCTTTTTCCTTGTTCATTTATTCGTCTAGCAGGCATTTCCTGATGTCAGACACGGGGCTAGGCACTAGCAACACAAAGGGAGAGAACATGGGTTCCTTCCCGGGGCGAGCACACAGTCCAGATGAGGAGGCTGAGAAGGGACTGTGTGGTTACGCAGCAGGGTGCTCAGTGCCTGCTGGAGGTGTGTCCACAGTGCGGCAGCCACGGCAAGGAGGGTGTGCCCACCCAGTTCTGTCTGCAGAGGAGAGGGGACACTCAGGTTAGGATGAGGTTACCGGGAAGGGAAGAGCCTTACTCTCCTAGGTAGAGGGTATGACCTGTGCAAAGACCTGGGACAGGAACATACATGACACATTTAAAGAGTAGCTGGTAATTTAGTGCACCTGGAATACAAAGTGTATGGCTACCGATGGCTAATGAAGGGCTATTCAGATCAACACCTGACAAAATCATAAATGCTCTTTTTGGCCACCCTTCTACGTGCTCACACTACTTTGCCACTTGCCCTTTAAAATGTGGCCTCTAGATTCAGATCTGGTCTTGCAGGTGAAGGCTCATAAGAAAGGGAAAGAGAGGAAGGAAGGAAGGAAGGAAGGAAGAAGGAAGGAAGGAAGGAAGGAAGGAAGGGAAGGAAGGACATGGGTGGAAAGAACGGGTTAAAAAAAACCCCTGAAAAATCACCCTCAATATTTCTAGTCTCTTAAAAGTTTCCATATTTATAATATGCAAACTCTAAATTTAATGTAAAAGCACATAGAATAATTTTATATTCTCAAGTTAAAAACATGACTTTGAATTTATAAAAGGATCTTATATAAAAGTTTCTATCTCCTCTATCCTCAAAAGACCCAATTGCTTTTTCCATGTCTTTGAGGAATACAAACTATTTCACAATTACTTTACATTTAAATGTGTCTAAATCTGGAGAAAACGATAACAGTAGCTACAGCTAGAGAGATTCAAATTATTTTTAAAGTTAAAGGGAATTTTTGGAAGTAAGGCTTTGGATTGATATTCTAATAACCCAGTTATTAGACACTTTACTCCATTATAATGTGAATCCTTGTCTTATGACTGGATAAAATCACATCACTAAACATGACAAGCATGATGCCCACCCAAGGCCCGACACAACACTCCTTGCCATTCCAGTGTTCTGGCTTCAGGTGGTCTGCGGTTATCATTTCTCTCACCTTTATTCTTTTGCCTCTGTCCTTCAGGAGTGCGCAGCTGTTTTGTGTGTTCAGCATTTGGTAACCCAAGGCTTTCTTCCACAGGGAGCCTTTTGGGGACTGATCATAGGATTTCTGATTGGGGTGTCCCGTATGATCGCCGAGTTTGCTTACGGAACCGGGAGCTGCATGGAACCTAGCAACTGCCCCACGATTATCTGTGGTGTGCACTACCTGTACTTTGCCATCATCCTCTTTGTCATTTCTGTCATCATCATCTTGGGCATCTCCCTCTTCACCAAGCCCATTGAAGATAAGCATGTGAGTATCCCCTTGGGAGACCTGTCCTGCCCTTGTTCCACATTCACGCTGCAATGCCCACCTTGGTTGCCCCCAGCTCAACTAGACACCTCACAGTCACGTGACGAAATAGCCCATCCTTGCCATGGTGTCCTGTAGAAGGACACAGGATAGGAAGCTCGGCGTGACAGCAGGGCAGTCTCAATCATGTGTCTTCAGCAGGGGTCCTCGAGCACTCTATATCTCCATCCAGGGGCTAGTCTCTGAGTTATGTTCCCAGGTGACAGCTCAGGTGCAAGGGCGTGAGATCGCATGGGCAGCACAGCGGCTGCCCTGGCTGAGGTGCTCATGTCCCAAGTAGGGACTTAGAGTTCTTGTAACACTTCCACGGTCAGAACTTCCAGGGGTCCCAGCAAGAGGTGTACCTAGTTACAAAAATCACCACACTCAGGGAAATCTGCAGTATGATTTACCCTTTGGTTTCCCCTATTTAAGCCTCTAAATAGTGGCCCATAGAACTCAAGAAATCTCAAACAATATTGATGACTGATTCAAGACTTCAAAAATGACAAGTACTCTTCTTCAGCTCTAGATGTCGCCCTTGGATTAGGGTATATTCACAGCCCTCCCACTGCAGGTGAAGATGACCAATTAGAGGCTTCCCCTGCTCTCCCACAAGCAATATAGTCTGGTAACTCAATACACCTGGCGTTCTACCTTTTTCAGGTTTCCAAGAAACAGAGATAGAGGGTTAACCCAGGATCAAATTTTCCATAGAGAAAGACAAAGGGTTTTCTTAACCCATCGCACTTACATAGATACAGGGACTCAAGAAATCCATAGGAGATCCTCAACCTCATGGTCAAATGTTCCAAGCTGTGAGCAAACTTAATGTCAAAGAAAAATTGCTTTTATAGCAGCAGAACCACCATGTTTATTTACTGAATCTATCACAAGCCTTCTGTTGTATTAATTCTTCCCGACATCTCTGTCTTTGGAAGTATCGCAGCCCCAAACACATTTAGGCTTCATGCTTCCTCTTGCTGTAGAGAAAGCAAGGTGGTCACCAAAGAGGGCGTGGTTGGGATGAACAGGCTGCACTGATTTTCAGACTTCAAGTTTCAGGTTTCACGTCAACAGAGACTGTGGCCTCCAGTCCTTTCCTGTTGTAAATGGCTCATGATTCTATAAACTCTCTCCCCATAATATGACAAACCCATAGCACAAAAATGCCATCTTATGCTGCTGGTCTGGACAGATGGGTGTCTTGCTTTGTTTCCCAGAGCTGGTGCTAAAAGGAACAAATTCATTTGTCTTACGAAGCAAGAGTTCATTCATTCAAAACATTTCTGTAGTCAAGGCAGCCTCTTAGCCTCAGAATACACATATGTCATACGGCCTAGTGTTTCCAGGTGTATGGTTTACATCTAAGTTCCTGACATTTTTAGATAAAATGCTATGGACCTGAATTGTTATGTATGTTCTTATTGGTGCTGAGAGGCCACATTCCTTTTTCTTTCTTGATGCATATCTCTTTGTTCTCCCAACTTCTTGGCCCGAGACACGGTTTGGATCCTTCTGCTAGCCTGTTCTGTTTTTTCCACAGCTCTACCGCCTGTGTTGGACCCTGCGCAACAGCAAAGAGGAGCGTATCGACCTAGATGCAGAAGAGGAAAGCATCCATGAAACCCAAGATGAGGCCCTTGAAATAGGTGACTCATGACTCAGAGGCTATTCCCTAGCCTTAAAAAGTTAACTCCTACCACAGCAAGACCATTTTACTGAAGGCTTCACTAAGTGCCTTCGTCAAAGCTCAGATCTCTCTCCTAGGGGCAGTAGCGAGCCGGGTAGGCTGTGTGTGAGACGAATAAATGGGTTTTGGGGTATTCACTCTGAAGGTTGGTCAAAGGGAGGAGGGAAGTACAGAATCATTCCAGCTCCCTCACCCTTCATAGTTTACAGTGCTCCGTGATCAAGGGTGGGTGAGGAATTTGCCACCGTTACTTGATTTGGGACATGGCCAAGGGCAAGGGAAGAGTCAGAGCTCTTCTGACAGAGCCTGTGAGCTGAAAGCAGGTAGAATCAAAGCTATGGCTAGTCCTGATGCCATCAGGAGAATGGGATAGAGGCTCAGGGATCTTCTATCTTACTGGCTTACCACATCAGACTTAGAAAATCAAATTTCCCTGGAAGTCTAGTGAGAGAATCCCTAGTCAGTGCTCAGAGATTTATCCTGATCATAGAGACATGCTTTCCTCAACTTCTGTGTTGCAACTTTCCTCTTCTACTTGGAGGATGGTTGTGGAGATGTGTGGTGTATGGTGATGTGGGAGCTCAAGGTTGTATGTTCTCTCCCTGATGTTGGGCAGAAGGTCTCATCACTCCATCTGAAGGGAGAGCAGATACAGCAGAACAAGTTCTGAATCTGGCCACCAGGAACTTCACAGAATCCTAGCTCTGGAAAGGGCCCTAATTAATTTGGTCTTATCACCCCATTTTAAAGACATGTAAATTGATGCTCTGAAACAGAGGCTTTGCCTGGAGCCACAGGCAGCTGACCCGGGTATTGAAAAAGGCAGCAGTGGCCTGCTTCAGGGGAGCGGGCCAGAATGAGCATGCCCCCCCGCGTCCCCCACCTCCAGACATGACCCCACGTTGAGTAAGAATATCATAGATTTTAAAGGGTAATGCATAGAATATTTTGAATGTTTTAATGTGGAAGAAGAGATTAGGTTGTGGTTCCCCACCACTCCCACCAGCACTGAGGCATGGCTGGAAAGAACCCATCCCATTTTAACTCAAAGTAAAGAGGCAGGATAGTGTAGAGACAGAGTGTGGGATTTGGATTCAGGAAGAACTTGGATTGAATCCTAACTTCTCTACTTACTACCCTGTGCAAATTATTTCATTTTTCTAAAGCTGAGGCTCATCACTTAAAAGTATTCTAAATGATAGCCTATACTTCATAGCACTGTTAGAAATATTGAAGGAAATAATGCTCTGCAATAGAATTGGCTATAATTATACCATTATGATTGCAACTCAGGAAAGGTTTTCTGGGTTTGTTTCAGAAGAGGTGAGCAACAAGCTGCATCTATCAGGGATGCCTAGAGGGGACTCCCACACTGGCTAGAGAATTAGCTTAGTGACTTCTGGGGTTCATGGCAGAAGTTGAACTCTGTTGTTTCTGGATGAACTCATGGTGAAATCATACTGAACACCCTGCCCTTACAGTACAATAAACTAAGATCCTAGAGGGCTTTAATAGACAGTGGTGGCCCCCCGTCATTCTCCAAGAAACAGCAGTGTGAGAATTCACCGCTACATCGTGGCCGCTGCCACCATCATCATGACAGATAACAATGCGACCATAATGTATTCTAATTATGAATACTTTAGTACTTAATTTTGGCACCACATCATACTTTCAAAGCAGATAATGCAAGTATAATTCTTCCAATTTTAAAGATGAGTAAATGAGACATAGAAGCTTTCTCAAGGCCACCCAACTTTAAAATTTTTTAAAGTTGATTTTTAGAGGAAGGGAGGAAGAGAGGGAGGGAAGAAGGGAGTGGGGGGCTGGGGAGAGAGAGAGAGAGAGAAAGAGAGAGAGAGAGAGAGAGAGAGAGATTTGATTGTCATTCCATGCATCCACTGGTTGCTTCCTGTATGTGCCCTGACTGGGGATCAAACCTGGAACCCTGGTGCATTGAGAGGATGCTCTAACCAACTGAGCAACTTGGCCAGGGTCCTTCCAACATTTTAATGGCCCAAACAAGCATGAGTTTCTCATTTGAGCCATCACCATTCTCCTATTTTGGTGAAGTCAATAAAAGTACAGAGGTACAAGGAGGCTTGTCTATCTCTTATGTGTGTGAGAGTGAAAAGAGAGGTGTCAACACTTCTTGACACCTACTTTGTCCAGGGTGGTCTCTCACTCAATCTTATAATGAAGAAGGCATTATTTATCCAGTTTTACAGATACAGAAAATGAGAGGTGAATTAACAAGATCACTAAAGCAGGTTTTGGTCCCAGTTCTGATGCACGTATGTGCTTGATCACTACAAAGGTTCTTTCCAATTCTAAAATTCTGTGGCCTAAAAATGGGAGAGTGGAGAGCCGTGATCCTTGACTGTGGTGCTGAGAGCACAGTGGGCTTCAGTTGGTATCTAGTGAGTTACAGACCTGGTTTTCCAACTCTGGTCTATCTCCAATGCCATACCTGGGCAGAGGGGAGAATGAGTCCCCGTGGTGGGCATCCACTCCGAATGGCAGGCCAGTTGGATGATCGGATTCAGCAGCATTGATGGGCACCATCACGTCTTAAGCCCTGGGAGTGTTATCACTGCTGCCCTGTTCAGACTGATTCTTACTGCACTGCTGGATCTATTGCAAAGCAAGGAGTTCCAGGTGTGACCAATGAACTCCTGAGTGATGAGATTCTCATTGCCTTTTAGCGATGTAGCAAACAGATATGTTCATATGTTTCAGAGGTGTTACAGTGCTCAGCCCATTGTTAACATCTGTCTGCCGTAAACTATTGTTCCCTGTTTGCTTCTAATGGTTCTAAACGAAAACATGTTTGCGTTTGGTCTGATAGGGATGAAATGTAGGCTAGCTGATCATAAGGAGGTAGAATCCACCCATTAACATCATCTTATAATTAACCAAGTTGACTCAAACATTTTTTACCTTTTCCATTCCTCTGAATAAGAAAATTGGGAAGGGTCTGCAGGATGGCAGCTGTTCCATGATATGACATTCTCCCCTCTACCCCGGGGAAACATTTTCTAATTCCTTCTAGTCCACTTCTGTATCCAACAATTCTTTTATTCCTTTTCCCCAACACAGAATATCCTGAGGAGAAAAAAGGATGCTGCAGGAAGGCCTATGACCTGTTCTGTGGCCTGGACCAGCAGAAGGGCCCAAAGATGACAAAGGAAGAGGAGGCAGCCATGAAGCTGATGATGACAGACACCTCCGAGAAGCCTTTGTGGAGGACGGTAGTGAACATCAACGGCATCATCCTGTTGACCGTGGCCGTCTTCTGCCACGCGTATTTTGCCTGAGCCCTGCCCTCTGCCGCAGACTGTTCTCATAAAGGCCGGGCTATTTACTTTGCCTCCCTTCCGTCCCTTTCTGCGGTGCTGAAGGGAAACCAACTAGTTGTAAATTTTGACCAGTTGACAAATGTGCACATATGTAATTATAGGATAGCTGGATAAAAGTGATTAATTTGTTGTTAACTTATATATTTGAGGCCAGTGTGATATAGTCAGGTATACATATCAGAGACACAGAAGAAAAGTCCACTCATTCATGAAAAATCAGACAAAGAAACGGAAGCCCTAGGACGTCTGATGCACGTTTGTCTCAGGTAGATTCAGTACATCAACATTGTTTGTAACCTTTGAATGTCATTTTTCAGAACTGCCACTTGTTCCTGCCACTTGCCCTATCTTGTCCTCCTCAACTTTAAAAAAAAAAATTCTCTCCTCATCACATCCCTATCAAATTTTTCTTGGCACAAAAAAATCAATCTGATAAATTGATAAACCCATTGGAGCTGAGGATGGGTGCTTGATGGGGTCCCTATCTGGGTGTTTGCTCTTTGAAGGAAAGAAGAGGGACCTGAGAGCAGTGCTTACCCCAAAGCAGCGCAAAGCCAAATGGAAATATTGCTATTATGAGACAGGCATTTTTGTTGTTGTTGTTGCTATTTTGGAAGGTCAGAGAAAAGACAACAAACCAGCTACAAGGCAATCTTTGAAAAGTAGTTAGTTGGTCAAGATTAATAATACTGAGCAAACTGTCAACAAATCTCAATCTCAAGGCCAGTGAGGGGAAAAAGATAATCTTGAGTCACTAGGATTTTCTGAGCGTCTTAAAAATGTCCAGCAGGGGTTCCTCATGTTGGAGATTTCACTCATTTTGGCATTCGCCGTGCCTGGACTGTGTTGGCCACTCAGCAATGTTTGTGGACTGAATGAATAACATGGGCATTATTTATAAACACATGCTTTATTTTCGGTTAACCTCTTCTGTGGCTGCACGAAGCACACACCGTGGTGACTGTCGTGCATTTTCCATAGGCCACTCTTCTTCCTGGTGTGGATGTTGACATATGGGCTCAGAAGTTGACTCTGTGTCACATGTGTCACAAGAGGCACAGGAAGCGTGCCTCTTGGGGATTCTGTCATCACAAAGCAGCCATGCTCTCCTGAAATATTGAAACAATTAGCCTGAGATCCTCCTCCCCATGAATTCACGTGACCACAGCCCTTACCCCTGTCAGTTGTCTGGACTGGTGAACATTCGCTGAGCAAGGTTGGGGCACGTGGTTTCTGTTCTGTTGGGAGTGCTCAACACTTTTAGCTGAGTGGAGTGTATTTCTTGTTGAACCTGTTTGTTTCCTAGAGAGAAATTTTTAAAATTTAACTTAAATTCAATGAGTTAAATATAATTCTTTCAATTCCACCTGTGAAATCTTAATTATATTGTAATATAATCTCATTAAAGTAAACAAACAGTCATGATGGTCGCATTGGCTGGTTTCAGGCTCGTTTAGCAAAGAGCTGGGACCTGAGGCTCTGCGGAGCTTAGAGGGGTTATGGCTCCACAGGTGAAGGAGTGGCTTGTTCTATGGAAGGAAACCCAGAGATCACTGTTTGATGTGCCCTTATAGTCCTCTTAAGCTAGGAAGAGAAGGCGGAAAAGTAGAGAATTTCACATGGCTAGCATTGCTCAGTGTATTGAGTTTTGTGTGGAGTTGGTGGCAGTTTCAAGTTTTGAGAGGATAAAGGGAGAGGGTTGATGCTGAGGGATGGAGTGGGCACAAAGTACCTAGTTCGTCCTGGGTTCTGTGTCTGGTTTTGCCAATGATTCATTGTGTATATTGTGGTAAATTATGTTGTCTCAACTGTGTATTTTTCTCTTTGAAAAATGGGAACCTTGGTGCTTATAGTATCTCCCTACCTCCTCTGGGTGTGATGAGGTCGCTTGGCCAAGGGGATAGGAGATACATACATGAAAGGTGACCTACAGATGTTGTATTAGGCTGCATTTAGTCCCATAATTAAAATTTATTCTTGTACTTTGATAAAAATAAACACATTAAAAACCATAACATCCAGGTTTCCTGTTCTCTAGAGATTCTGGACAAATGTGCATGTCTGTGGTGAGTTTTGTTGGTGTAACATATGGATTAGAAAGCAGGAGCCAAGAAAGTTAAGAGTAGAATATAACAATGTGAAAAAAATGTAGGAGCTTGGAAATAATTTTGATTTCAAAATCACTAGTAAACACAAGGTGAGTAGCTCTACCTTCATTGTATAATAGCCTGTTAGAATAGACTGAGCCACATGGGTAACCAGGGACCAGGAACCAATCAACTGTACCAGAATAATTTCAGGGTACAAGGAAGAGCAATTCTTTTCTTCCAATGGAAGATGGGTGTTGTGGGGCAGAGTGATTGTTTATTAATGCACAGTTTATAGAGCTGAAAAAAGAAATCGTGCCCTATCAAGCAAAACAAGCCTCTTTAAATATGGATGACTCTCAAAAGGAAAAGACAGGCCTCCTACCCAGCAAAATAAAGCGGGTCCTGAGGCCTTTGGCATGTTCTGTGCTGCTGAGCCAGGCACTGGTGTTCACTTAGAGAAACTTCTCCCTTTCGAACTCACTAGAACCCACTCTTTGCTGGTGGTGAAGTCACCACTTCCTGAAAGATGTGCTGCAGCCTGTTCTGTGTCACAAAAGCAAACCCTGGGAGAAAAACACATATGTACTTAGTTGGAGAAGAGGGGTTTCTTAACACCATCCCATCTCTAAGAAAACTCCTTCTAACCTTCAGTTTGGATTTAGGTAAATGAAACTGTTTGAATGAGGTACCAGTGCCTTGCTGGGTTGGTGGGGACAGGATTAGGGAGGGGTGGGTGAGGTTCATCGGACAGCGTTGTTTGACTGGCTCCAGACGATGCAGGTGAGTGCCGTTCAGTCTGCCCCCGCAGTGCATCCCTGACACAGCCCGTGTTTGCAGTCTTATGAGCAACTCAAAGAATAGGTGGTCTGACGCGATTCATCCCGTGCCTGGAGAACTGGTGGCAAACGTTCAACTGATAAAGGGACCTTCTTCACACATGCGTGCTGGCAGCACATACACACACATTTCAGAATCAAAGGGCTTAGAGTGGTGGTTTGCAAGCTACAGCTCTATTAAAACACAGGTTGCTGAAATTCACCTTCAGGGTTTTCAAATCAGTAGGTCTGCAGTAGGGCCTGAGAATTTGCATTTCTAACAAGTTCCCAGACCATTTTGATGCTGCTGGTCAGGGGAGCACACTTTGCAAACAACTAGTTAGAATTAATTTCCAAATAGGCTTCATTTCATTACTAAGGCAAGTAGAACTGAAAAGACCTATTTCCCAGGCCCTATTTTGAGATTTTTTTTTTAGCGATGACTCAGGACCAAAAGTCTTTTCTAAAACGAAAGGTACATAGGTATGGCAGAGGTGCATTACGATGCCCAAGCACAGAATAACCCCATTCTGCTGAACATCCGGGCCCACCCGCTGAATTCTGACCTCACCCCGCCTGGAGGCCCAAGGCCTGACACTTTGCCAGCTTGCATTTGATTTGATTTTATGTTTGGCACTTACTATGTATCATATATGAGTGGCCCTAATGACAGTCGCACAGGCCAAATTTTTGCAGATGGGGTGGAGTGAAGAAAGACAAAACGCTAACATTTATCGGGCATCTTCTCTGGGCCAGGCCCTTTAGGCAGTGGCACCTGACGTCACCTAATCCTTACAGCAGTTCCATGAAGTCTGCATGGTATTTGGAAGGAATCAAGGTTCAGAGATTTAGGGATTTACCTAAGATTAAGACCTTGGTGTTTTTGGGCTAAGGGCTAACCGTCTCTCCTCTGCCATGTAATTTCCCGTGGCAGCCTTCCAACAGGGATACGCCGTTTCTCCTTCAGTTCTGAAGACCCTGAATGGGGTGGGGTGTCGACAAGTGAGGAAACCAAAATCTATGAGCACCTACTTATTAAGATTAAGAAATATTATAAATTTATCCCATTTGAATCTGTGAGTTAAACACTTCTATCTCTTTTTTCAGATGAAAATGAAGGTTCAGGGAAGTTTGTTGCTTTGCTCAAGGTGGGCCTTCAGGAGCACAGGCGATGTCCTGGCTGGTGTGGCTCAGTGGATTGAGTGCCAGGCCGTGAACCAAAAGGTCTCTGGTTCAATTCCCAGTCAGGGCACATGCCTGGGTTGCGGGCAAGGTCCCCAGTGGGGGATGCATGAGAGACAACTGATCAATGTATCTCTTACACGTCGGTGTTTCTCTCCCTCTCTTTCTCCCTCTAATAATAAATAAATAAAATATTTTTTAAAAATACAAGACCCATCTATATGTTGCCTGTAAGAGATTAACTTCAAGTTGAAAGACACATATAGGCTCAAAGTGAAGGGATGAAAAATATATTCCAAGTAAACTGGAACCAAAAGAGAGCAGGGTAGCTATATTTGTATAAGCTAAATAGATGTTAAGTCAAAAGCTGTAACAAGAAGCAAAGAAGGTCATTATATAATAATAAAGGGGTCAATTCATTAAGAGGATATAAGATGGTAAATATATATGCACCAGACATTGGAAGACCTAAATATATTAAGTAAATACTAACAGATCTGAAGGGGTAATAGACAAAAATACAATAATAATAAAGAACTCTACACCCCACTTTCAACAATGGATAGGTCATCCAAATCAGAAATCAATTAGGATATTGGACTTGAGTAACACTTTAGACAAAATGGACTTAACAGGCATGTACAGAAACATTCTATCCAACAGCAGCAGAATGAACACTCTTAAAGCATGCATGGAACATTCTGTAGGACAGGTCATATGTTGGGTCACAAAACAAGTTTCAGCAAGTTAAAAAATATTTAAATTATACCAAGTATCTTTTCCAACCACAAAGGCATGAAACTAGAAATGAACAGGAATAAGACTGGAAAATTCACAAATATGCGGGAATCAAACCATACACCCTTGAACAACCAATGAGTGAAAGATGAAATCAAAAGGGAAA